ATATGTATCTGTCAGTGTATGCATGCGTGTTTCAGTGTGTGTATGCGTGTGTTACTGAGAGTATGTCGGTAAGTGAATGTGTATACATGTCTGTCAGTGAGTTTGTGTGACACTGAGTGTATATATATCTGTCAGTGAGTGTGTATGTGTGTCTGACATAATTTCTTTGCACAGTCAGTGTGTGTCTGTCAGAGAATGGGTGTGTCTTAAACTGAGTGTATATATATATATATATATATATATATATTTATATATCTGTCAGTGAGTGTGTATGTGTGTGTCTCAATGTGTGTGTGTCTGACATCCTTTTTTTGCACAGTCAGTGTGTGTCTGTCAGCGAATGGGTGTGTCAAACTGAGTGTATATAAGTCTGTCAGTGAGCGTGTATTTGTGTGTCTCAATGTGTGTGTGTCTGACACTCTTTTCTGCACAGTGTGTGTGTGTCATTCAATCCTATCAGCAGTTTGGATGAAACCCACATCTCCAAAACACTATACAGATGTACAACATAGCAAATGACTGGCGTGATGGACAAGCATGTTTGTTTGCTTCAATATTCGATGAGAGATCTGGAATAGCTAATGTCAATTCTGTGCATACTCAGGCATGTTTTCTTTTTTTCTTTCTTTTTTTTGGTGTGGAAGGGTGGGGAGGGGATATCATGCTAGTAAGGGTTAAAGGTTACTCTAAGCAAAAACAGTGTTTTATTAAAAACAAATTTTTTTTGGTTGGAGTAAGCCTTTATTGTACATTGTCGCAGTATATGTTGGAATTATATAAATAATATATTATTTTTTTTTTATTGTGTACAACAAGGGTATAACTCACCTCCCCTGGGGGTATGCAAAAACATTTGTGTAAGGATGGAATTGAGTTCTGCAGGGCAGCTGTCTAATGGCCTGACGGCATGTGCACAAGTTGGTTAAGGTCTCAGGTGACAGACTGGTTCTACACAAAGCTCTCCAGCAGACTGGCTGGGACAAAGGAGATCTCGCCTACTGCAACCTTCCACACAATGTCCACATGGTGGGATCCCAAAATGGTAAGAGATCTGTCACACTGCCCCCTCACCCACACTGTCACATTGCTCCCTCTCCCATACTGCTCCCACCCCCACAGCGCCACACTGCCCCCTCACTCACACTGTCACACTGCTCCCAACCCCCACACTGCCCTGTCCCCCACACTGTTACCCTCCCCCCAAACTGGAGGCAGTGAGGAGGGGAGAGGAAGCTGCCAGGCTGACTCTTATCAGCCCCAGCCGCCTTGATGCAGCCAAAAGGTAAGAGGAGGGTGGCTAAAAAAATTACTTGTATGTGTTTGTGTCAGTATGTATGACTGTGTGTCATGCATGACAGTATTTCAGTATGTATGTGTGTGCATCACTATGTGTGCATGTGTATCTGTGTGTATTTGCATTTGTTTGTGTATATGTATCAGTGTGTGTGGAAGTGTATACACTACACACAAATGTGCGCCTCTATTCAAACACCAACATTAACCATTCACACACATACTCCATGCAAAAACATGCTTACATTCAAACACACATTTTGTGTGTGTGTGTGTGTGTGTACGCACGCATTTAATGCGTTCTCCGGGACATTTCTTATTGCAAAAAAATTGTAAACCGAAACGCGGTTTCCCATAGGAATGCATTAAAAATCAATAAATCCGTTCTAGAGGCGAGAAAAAAGTCAAAATGAGCTGACATGGAAACCAACCCACAACGCAGAACACACAATAACAGGCATGCAAACGACAAAGCTCAGCTCCCTACCTTTCCACAGCATGTGTGTATTATGTCATGCACTGTGTGTAGTGAACGCAATGTCTGTTTTTGTAGTATATGCAGTGTGTAGTGAATACATTGTGTGTGTATAATGTATGCAGTGTGTATAGTGATTGCAGTGTGTGTGTAGTGGATGCAGTGTGTGTGTAGTGGATGCAGTATGTTTTTGTGTTGTGGATGTAGTGTGCATTTTATGCAGTGTGTGAACCTTTGGCGGAGGAGGAGCAGGGAGAGCGTTGAGGCAGAAGAAGGAGGAACAGGGAGAACTTTGGGCAAAGGAGGAACAGGGAGAGCCTGGGGCAGAGAAGGAAGAGGGAGAGCCTGGGGCAGAGGAGGAAGAGGGAGAGCCTGGGGCAGAGGAGGAACAGGGAAAGCAAGGGGCATAGGGGTGTAACGAGAATATACCCCAACACGCAGGATTCAGCTAAACAAAAGACAACACAGAGGAGAGATACGTCTACCGGACCTTAGAATGGCCGGACTCGACGTATATGAGAGGAGACAGAGTCAGGAACAATCCGAAATCAAGGGCACAGAGAGACAGCGTAAACTAGGACAAGCCGGGGTCTGGTACACAGTAAACAACAAGCCGACAACCAGAACAGAAGGATAAAGAGAAAACGTAGTCAGAAACAAAGCCAAGGTCAATACGGAGAAACACAACTGAACACAACAAGCGCTAAAGGGAACTGATACAGAAACCACGATAGGGCAGGGAGTAAAGGGAGAGGTAAGTTTAAATAGCTTCAAAACTAATGTGATTGGCTCCTGTCATATCCACACCCCCAAAAGGTAAGTGTATGGGGAGTGTGGCATGACAGGGGCCAATGGGAGCCTTTTGACAATTTAGGCTCCCACTGTCTCTTTAAGAGCGCGCCCGAGACTCGCGGCGCGCTCTTAGATTCAGGCGGGACACGTGACCGCTTCTCGCGGTCACTGCTCGCCTTGCTAGTGGAGCCGTCGGATGAGCCGCGCGCGGCTTGTGCAGCAGCAGGACCGCGCGCAGCTTGAAGAGAGGACCGCGGCCGGCCCCTGGAGAAGGTGAGTAACGCTACAAGGGGGAACAGGGAGAGCCTGGGGCATAGGGGGAACAGGGAGAGCATGGGGCAGAGGAGGAACAGGGAAAGCCTTGGGCAGAGGAGGAACAGGGAGAGCCTGGGGCAGAGGAGGAACAGGGAGAGCCAAGGGAAGAGAAAAAGGGAGATGTGGCAGAGAAAAACCTATACATTTGAAATAACAGCAACTATATTAATTATAAAAAATGTTCTAATATAAAGGGGTATAATTTATGGAAATTGACTTCCAAGGGGTACTCAAGTGAAAAAATGTTGGGAACCACTGGTGTAGAATGTTAAAATTGACAAAACAGATATATAAACAGGGATGAGTCTACCGCGAGGCAAACAAGGCATTTGCCTTGGGCGGCAATTTCCATGGGGTGGCAAAAAACGCTGCCCCCAAATGCCCAGGCAAATACCTTGTTTGCCTCGTTTCATGGGAGCCATGGGAGCTGGCCGGCTAGCCACCTTTGGGCTCCCCCGGGCAGGCGGCGAGGGAGCACTTTCAGCTGAGCAGAGAGCTCAGGGGAAAGTGCTCCTTTGCCGCCCGCCCGCCTCCCTGCCCAGCAGCCCCACTGGACCCCAGGTGAAATATCCACCAGCTATCCAAAAAGTAGGGAGGTCGGGTGGATTTAAATTTAAAATAATAATAATAACAATAATAAATAATAATAATACTAATAATAATTGTGAGTGGGGGAAATGTGTGTGTGTGTGTCAGAGAATGTGAGTGAGTGTGTGTGTCAGTGAATTGTCGGTCAGTGAGTGCTTGCGTCTGTCAATGAGTGTCAGTTAGTGTGTGTCTGAGTAAGTGTATGTCAAATCAGTGAGTTTGTGTGTATGTCATTGTTTGTCAGTGTATATGAGAGTGTGTGTCTGTCAATGAGTGTTTGCGTCTGTCAGTGAGTGTGCGTCTGTCAGTCAAAGTGCGGCCTTGTCAGGAAGGGGTGGGGAAAATTTAAATTGGGGGGTTGCCCGAGCACCGTCCTGCCTAGGGCAGCACAAATCCTAAATACACCAGTGTATATAAAGATGTGTTCTGCAGATTTACATGCTCATTCACAGACAGTGAAGAATACAAAACACTAGAATCTTTGTATAAAGGACACAAAAAATAAATCTTTCTATCAAAAGGTGCACTTGCTTTGTATTGCAATAGTGCGTATCTACCTCTTTTTTGGGTTTTTTAAATCAACATATTTTCTATATAATCTTGAAACACCATCTCCCAGGTGTCTATCAGAATGTCAACTATACAATATCTGTCAAAATCAGAACAAGAAGCCGGATACATTTCATATCATAACATTAAGCTGACACCATAACATTTCAAGATCAATCAAGAAATATTAGTAGCAAACATTTCTTATATTCTCCTACTAAGTCAAATATTGTATCGGCATATATGAAATGAAACGCAAAATGTATACTTTCACTATGAAATATATTATCCCACACTGACCACATCAGAATGGGTCACATTAACCAAGGCCTGTATGAAAACACACCTTTCTTTCTTATTTTAAATATCCCTTTTTTGCACATTAAATGAATTTGGGGAACAGCTAATCTAATTTCCACAAAAGTCTAAATGATGTAATTTAGTTTTATCAAGAATATAGATATCAAGAGGTCTCTTTTTTTCATTTAGCATATGAACTCGCACGCGAGGCCTATATGTAATGGTGCCGGTACACTACATTGTAAGCTTAACAATTGGATTTTGCATTGTATGTGTTAAAGAGACACTATAGTTACCAAAACAACTTTAGGTTAATGAAGCAGTTTTGGTGTATAGATCATACCCCTGCAGTCTCAGTCCTCAATTCTCTGCTATTTAGGTGTTAAATCACTATTTATGCAACCCTTTTAACACCTCCCTGCATATGACTTGCACAGCCCCCATAAGCATTGTAAAAGAGTCAGCTAATGTTTACACTTCCTTTATCGCAAATTATGTTTAACCCCTTAAGGACACATGACATGTGTGACAGGTCATGATTCCCTTTTATTCCAGAAGTTTGGTCCTTAAGGGGTTAACTTATAATTTCTTATCTCTTGCTCTGTTAATAGCTTGTTAATACTTCCTGTATGTAAATTAAAGTTACATTTACAGAGCAGGAGATATAAACTATTAAAGTAAATCAGATCTGAATGAAAATGAGGTGTGGTTAGGGCTGCATAAACATAAACAAAAGTGATTTAACTCCTAAATGGCAGAGAATTGAGAAGTGAAACTTGAGGCATGATATATACACAATAACTGCTTCATAAAGCTAACATTGTTTTGATGGCTAGTGTCCCTTTAACTACTGCATAATATGTGTGTGCTTAACAAATGCTACGATAATACAGACCCCTAAACAAATGTATACAGATATATTGGTGATTTTTTTTTTTTAAGGCTAGAGAAGATGAAAACAATATTCGGAATACAAATTACAAAATCATGGGCAAGATTTACATTGATGGTCATACAAGACCCAACATTTACCTAAACACAATTATTACAAGAAAATGAGTGATGCATACATTACCTGAACCTGAAAAAAAAAAAAATAGGGCATACCAGGATGTTATTATGGAAGGATCCATATAGGGAGAGGGTGGGTTTCTGAAACCCATACACAAACATATTTACATCCAAATTTGGCCTGACTGCCGAGCTGACTGGAAGCAAACCTCAACAGCTCCCACTATATGCCCTCTGGACCAGCGGGGGTTATCCCGGTCTACCCTCATGGAGAGAATACTCACCGCCAAAGCGATCCAGGACACAGAGCGGGCGGAAAAGGCATTCTACAATGTGTAGCGGTAGCCCTTCAGTTACGATAAGTCTGTATTCCATATGTTGCTACCTTTAGTAGTATAGACATGCTTGGAGCTACTTAGCTTAGTTACTCTTTTTTACAAATTAATCTAAATGTTTACTGCTTAGTCTGTACTTATTACATAAAATTGTGCATGTTTAACTCACTACCCCGACTGTTATACGAGATAGAAACATAGAAACATAGAATGTGACGGCAGATAAGAACCATTCGGCCCATCTAGTCTGCCCAATTTTCTAAATACTTTCATTAGTCCCTAGTCTTATCTTATAGTTAGGATAGCCTTATGCCTATCCCACGCATGCTTAAACTCCTCTACTGTGTTAACCTCTACCACTTCAGCTGGAAGGCTATTCCATGTATCCACTACCCTCTCAGTAAAGTAATACTTCCTGATATTATTTTTAAACCTTTGTCCCTCTAATTTAAGACTATGTCCTCTTGTTGTGGTAGTTTTTCTTCTTTGTGGTAGTTTTTCATCCTGCTGGGAACAGCACCCCCTAGGGGGAACTGCGCACACAAACTAATATTCCAACCTTGTCTTACAAACTGCATTAAGACTTTTATTGACCCATTTTGTGCGGTTTAGTCTTGCAATATAAGATTAAATTTTTTTTTAAATGTATTTATTTTAAAAGAAAATTTGACATTTGTCACGTTTCATTATGAGATATTTGTGAAACGTACACATCTAAAAGTAAGCACTGCTAGAAATGTCTTGTACACATGGTTATCAGAGCCCGCAATACATTATAACACCACATTAAACACAGAGGAGATAACTGACATGAGGACTGCTGTTGGGGCACTTCGAGTATGTTTGTATTGTAATTATGCACTGCAAAAATAAAAAAAATAAGAAGTGGAGAATAATTTATTCCGCACAAAAAAAAAAACATACATGAGACATGCAAACATATAGATCAAGATAGAACCACATTAAATAAGTTTAAAGCTCTGTATTAAAGAGCCGCAATCTTGTTACTCACTTAGGAATCAAAGCTATAGCCCCTTTACATGAAAATTAGAAAAATGATGGACATTCCCTTAATTACTCCAGTAATGGCCATGACTTAAATTCTTTATGGATGGCAACCATGTTGGTTACAGAAGACAAGCTATAAAAACTTACATCCTGCTGGGAACAGCACCCCCTAGGGGGAACTGCGCACACAAACGAATATTCCAACCTTGTCTTACAAACTGCATTAAGACTTTTATTGACCCATTTTGTGCGGTTTAGTCTTGCAATATAAGATTAACATTTTTTTTAAATGTATTTATTTTAAAAGAAAATTTGACATTTGTCACGTTTCATTATGAGATATTTGTGAAACGTACACATCTAAAAGCAAGCACTGCTAGAAATGTCTTGTACACATGGTTATCAGAGCCCGCAATACATTATAACACCACATTAAACACAGAGGAAAAAGTTTTGTGGCCAGAGCAGCAAAGAACTTTGAGGCATATTGTTCCTATTACGATAGCTAGATGGGCCTTCGCTGAGCTACTTTCGTTTGGAATTCAACGGAATGTTATGAAAGATCCATGGATCGCGTCTATACTCTTAAAATATGGTACCAATACAATTATTTCTCCTGGAGTTTAGAAAATGTGTAACAGAACCGTGTCCAATTCCTTTAGCTTGTATCTGCCCATCATGGGGATGTAGGGAACAATATCCACGATTGGGTAAAGTAAGTTTGCACAGACACTTTTTCAAATGAAAGAATATGCTATTAAAATCCTAAAATGTTGAACTCCATATGGGATATAAACCTGCCTTTAAATTCATGTCATCCTTCTTGTTACAGTTCTAGTCTTTACATTTTTAAGCAACAGAAACACAGCAAAGTTTATTACGTATGTATATGTATAGAATATGACATTCGCCACACAAAATAAACAGAAACAAATAACAAAAGCAGATATTGAAGGAAAGGTAGAAAAGATATCTCCGTAATATATTACAGTATTACAATAGGTTGGGTAAAAAGAAGAAGGACGCAAACATGCTAGAACTGCCATGTAACCGGAAATTTCTCAGACTAAGCAGCAGGTATCTCAATACCACAATGTCTGTATAAGCCAGGGCCAATTTAGAAAAACGTCCATCGTGAATCAGAGGTCTCTTCAAGCAGCAGCAGTTGAGACTTGAAAGAATTGGCTAAAACGTGGTCAAAAACAATATTTAAACCTTCGCCTTCTGCAACACATATTTTCTCATGAACACTTAAACAGAACAATTCTAAAAACAAATGGGGAAAAAATCCACCCCCCACAAAAAAGATTTTAACGCAATGCAAGACCCCAGCAGTTGCCCTCATAACATTTTCTTTCATGTGAACGTCATGGTGTTTCCATTTACTTTTAACCAAATATTATTGTACAGAACTTGTTGACATTTATAAAATATTATGTTACCTAATATAATGGGACATTTTACGGCTAGCCCTGGGCAGCAGTGTTATAGAGCATGTAATATGGTAAAGAAAAAAGTGAACTTAGTGGATCGTACTACCACCAAAAGATCACTCAGTGGAGCGCTAAATATCAAATTCTTACCCCTATTGGAATAACGTATATATCACTTTAAGGGGCAGACAGCATAATAAAATCTACAACAAGAAAATACACATCATGGTGCAGTATGCTTGTAAGGTGTGAATGGAGTGGAAGAAGATGTATGTCCAACTCACATGGTAAAGAGCCTGGAGATTGGCTCAAATCACAACAGCTGAGGTATGTTTGGTAATACCAGACCTTCTCCAGATATACAGCTCACAACATATGTGGATAAAAAAGGACAAAAATCCTAGTGCAAGTATGTTTAAAATAAACAAGTGGTCACATATAACAGTGCATGAATGTGCTCACCTGGAATAGAGCCAATTGTACTAGGCTCTATGTATAAGCGTGTGGTGCCTTTAAGGGAGGCACTACCCTTCTTTAGAAAATGCAGGAAGCAGTTGAAGATCCACTACCAGATGTATAAGGTAAAAGTAACAATTTATTAAAAAAAAAAAAAACAATTAAGCAAAGTAAAACTGTATATACAGATACCAAAAAGTAAAAGTCTCTGGGGTGGTCTTCCTTGGAGTTCCAAGGGTAGTGCCTCCCTTAAAGGCACCACACGCTTATACATAGAGCCTAGTACAATTGGCTCTATTCCAGGTGAGCACATTCATGCACTGTTATATGTGACCACTTGTTTATTTTAAACATACTTGCACTAGGATTTTTGTCCTTTTTTATCCACATATGTTGTGAGCTGTATATCTGGAGAAGGTCTGGTATTACCAAACATACCTCAGCTGTTGTGATTTGAGCCAATCTCCAGGCTCTTTACCATGTGAGTTGGACATACATCTTCTTCCACTCCATTCACACCTTACAAGCATACTGCACCATGATGTGTATTTTCTTGTTGTAGATTTTATTATGCTGTCTGCCCCTTAAAGTGATATATACGTTATTCCAATAGGGGTAAGAATTTGATATTTAGCGCTCCACTGAGTGATCTTTTGGTGGTAGTACGATCCACTAAGTTCACTTTTTTCTTTCACATTGTGTTTGTGTAGGATTGGGATACCTGCATGCGTGTTTGAGCTGCTGTTCTATTTATATATTATTGTTAAGCGCCTAATTGCACAGAGCACCTTTTTCATGTAATATGGTAGTTTACGGTCAGTCACAGATATATTAAATACATTTTAGAAACGGTTTTCCAGGCACATGTTTTTCGCTAATCAGGATGGGCCTAATTTGCTATTTACAATTGGGATCACTAACCTACTACATGAAATAAAACCAATAAAACCATAAAACCGGAATTTATGTCACCATTGGTTTAAAAAGGCATACAAGTCAGTGGCACGCTTGTACAATAATGGAAAGAAAAACACATTGCAATATCCAGTTTGTTCCAAAATGTACGTTGCCAGTGGTTGAGGCCTTATGAATGGCTGCCTCTTTATCCCAGGCCAGGCTGTGAAGACCATCAGAGCATCTCAAGTAGATGAACAAACTCTTAGTTCTAAAGTGATGTCACCCGCAAAGGATTTTGGATGGAACACAGCCTTTATTTCAAGTTTCAACATTTGTTGTTTTTAGGCAGTGATGGAACAGCGATCACGGAGTTTTTACAGCCCTCTTCATGGATGCAAGGTTTACTGCTGCATAAACAATGTGTCCAATACACTAGTCCTATTCAGCTTGCTGTGAAACTGCCTTCCTGTTTAGGAGATAGGTTCTCCTCAATGAAAGAGAAGAACACCATTTCTGTCATAGGGAGGTAGCTACCCAGCAAATTAAATGAGGGTGGTCATTGAGTCCAAATAGGTCATGAGCATAAATTGTGAGTAGAATAGTTGTTTTAGTAATGCCATTTACCAACGTCCTTAATCTGGCACCCAGCTCTGAATATTGAGAAATAATGAGAACTATATATAAAGTGTGACTTTATTCTTTTAAATTACGGTCAGCTTACTACATCTAAAATGTAAAAAATGTTTAAAAA